CAATCGCGATCCCTTGATCTTTCGCCGGTGACATCGGTTCGCAATTAAGCGCCCGAAGATGGCGACGTCAAACGTTCGGAGCCGTGTACGTTACCAAAACCGTGGGCCAAACAATGAACCGCAGGTGGAGTTTTTTCGGGGAACCCAGATTATCAACGATCTGAACGATCCCTTCCACAAATAGCCTCGCGAATATTTTTGGAACGGTCCGGTTTGACCGCTCGGATGACAGTCCCTATATCGATTATCAAGTGTGTACAGGGAGCTTCTGTGGATTCTTTGGAACTTGATTTTCAATTAAGTCAGGTGAATTGTTATAGTATAATTGAGTGGTTCCTTTTGGGAAATGTTATAATAATCAAGAATTAATTTGTGGGAAGAAGACGTACAAGGAGTCCTTTATGTACAAGAAAATATTTCAAGTTTTTTTAATAATTATTCGTTTGTCTATATTGTTTTCTAGTAATCTACATTTTGTCACACTATTCTTAATTGCTCTATCTCCACTAGTTTCTAAACTAGGAAAATTGAATTTAAAGTTTACTAAGTTTAAAGGGGATTGTAATTATTCAAATTTGTTAGATTGTTTGTAAATGATTAATACATTCCCGAAATTTCTCACAATCATGTATTATAAACGTTGTAGCGGAATTATTGATACAAGTTATTCAAATGAAACGTCATCCACAGCCCATAAACCATGCCAAAGATGCTAATTGCGATTGAGGATCCTCCGATGCAGAATTATTAATGGCCTGCCAGATGTAAACACGAACGGAGCAAATAAAAATGTGAGGCTAAACCGCGTTTATTCCCCTCGCCCTTTAAGGGGCAAGTTCATTGAACCAGAGAACGTGAACCTTATGTCCATCTCAAGGACTGGGATCTACCTTTCGTTCTTTCTTTTCTCCTAAAAGGGGTATTTGTAATGTTTCGCTCCCAAAGAAAATATGAATAGTTGAACAATGTATATATTATATTTACAACAATTATATATTCTTTGAAAATTCATGGTATTCATCTTTTTAATATGTTTATTATTAATGTCGTGAAAATCGTGTTAATTCTGAAGGTAGCGCCAAGTGGTAACTCACCATTCAGTGGTCAGACATGGCTGACTATGACGCTTGATCTACTTCTACGCCGGTAGAGTATGTAGTACACTGATTCTTACTGTTTTTGTAATTGGAAGTCTTATAAACAGCAATTATAACACTGTTTAAAATTCAACGTGCCCAAAACTGTATTTATTTTTGTATATGAAATAATATTTTTTTATTCAAAGTTTGGTATCACACTTGTTTTTGATTTGCAGAAAATTAACTTTAATAACCGCTCAAAGTGATGTCCATCAACTTCGATCCAATTTTGCACTAATCCTTCTATCACAGTTATTTTATTACTTGAATCTACTCTCATACATTTGTGAAATTTTCGTACTCAAAGTCACATGAAGGTCACACTATTATAGGTCACTGGATTGGTCTTGACCACAACTATTACGTCACGCTGATAAAAATATATAGTCCCATTTACAAAAACTTCGATGTCCTTAAAATTTCGAAAAGTATAATCTCGAGAAATTTTTTTCTTATTTCCCTACATTTACACTTATATCTGACAAATAATATACATTAAAATTATATCTAACAAAATTGAAGAATACAAATAATGGAATCTTCTATCCCTAACAGTATCGATATATAAAAATAACCAACACTACAAAAGAACCACGAATAACATAAAACCTCGATCCTCGTCAATACGGAAGAAAACAACCAACAAGAAGTTCCATTCCCAATAACATCGAAGAACACGAATAGAGAAGCTTCGTGGAAGACCACGTAATTTCCCCTCTCGGAACAGAAATTCCAATAAGTTATCCACGCCCATCCGTACACGCACGAATCCTACGGTTCCCCCATAAAAAAAAAAAAAAAAAAAAAAAAAAAAAAAAAAAAAAAAAAAAAAAAAAAAAAAAAAAAAAAAAAAAAAAAAAAAAAAAAAAAAAAAAAAAAAAAAAAACAGAAACAAGGAGGTGAAAAGTGTTCGGTCCCCATATAGGGCTCGTCGCGGCAATGACGAAGAAATTCCATTCATCGTGGAGACAGAAGGAAATGCATACGTACCACGGCTGGTGTTCGTGACGGTGCGCGCGAGGATCACTGCGGTCTGGCAAGTTCACGGCCGTCCCTTACGTGCAGCCTTCTGTCTCCCCGGCCTCTTCCAAGGCCAAGTCGATGGATCGTACTCTCTATGCAAATGCCATTCGACACGGCGCCCCGCATTCATTGCTGTCGATCCGTTGTATTCGTGATGGCGACAAATCAAAATCGAGCCGGTTCCGTCATCGTCTTGCATAATCATCGATCGCGAAATTCTGGCCCTCCACGGTCTGGTAAAACCATCCAAACAGTTTTCGATCACGAGCGAATTATATATGCATGATACTTATCGGATAACAGTCCACTGTCGTCCGTTATCGAACGGATATAAATTGGACACGGATCTTTCGGTTCGAATGAGAAATTGTGTACCGGTTCGAGAATGATATTCTTCTTGGAAGACACAGAGGAGAAAAGGCAGACGGTTTTGAAATCAGAACGATGTTGTTGTTTGATGACCAGTTGACAGCCCGGTTGGGTGCCGTTACGGGACCACATTTGACCATTACTTCGCGGTCGATTCGTCGGGATTTGCTAAAACGGTAAACGCAAATTAATTCGACCTATCTCGTGTTAGACGGGTGTGGTTATGATTTGTAGTCGAAATCTGTACCGTTCGTCCATTTTAATAATTCTTCTTTCGTACCGCTATAGTCGTAGGTATGACAACAGTAAATCGTGCTTCCGTGATGGGACATGTATACTATCGCTTGTAAGTGTTAGAACACCTGGTCTGTATCTGAGTTGGGCAAAATGTAATCTAATTACAAAACCCAAATCACAATTACAATGTAATTGCGAGACAATTATAATTATTTTAATAATTACAATGTATTTGTAAAATTACAATGCAATTGCATTGTAATTGCGATTTAGATTTTGTAATTAGATTACATATTGCCCAACTCTGGTCTGTATAAAGAAAATATGTTAGTTTCCATTCCCCCCCCCCTCCATTGGGCGATGAAAACAAACCCAGACAGACGGAAGCGGTAGATAGGGTAAACGCACCAATGAATGAACAGTATAATTTTGTACCTATTATAGTCGAATTTTAAATGACAATAATATTCATAAATATTCGGTTCATGAAAATTAGATTTTTTATTAGTATAGATTTCAATTTGAAGAATCACAAAAATGAAATTAATTTGATTAGAAAGAAAGGGTGTAGATTTCACCAGTGAACGAACAATATTAAGTAAATGAACATTTCTAACCAATGCACTATAGGCCAGAAACGACAATTCCACGACAAAAATCGACATCTCCTTCCTGGTTGTTGGAAATAGTATACTGTGGCATGAAATGAGATTTAAAGAAACAGATTTAAAAATTTTAAAATGCTTTTTTTTAATAAAATATTGCTTTTTTAGGGATAAGTATAAAGGATACTTTTTTATGAGCTTCTTTTTGCTGCGTATCTATCATAAATAATGGATTAAAAGTGATATACAACACTCTTCATCGATTTACCGCTAATTTTAATGTTCGATCCTATAAGGATAGTATCCTGCAAAACGTCGCCTACAACGTGCTACGATACAGTAATCGTACAGCCATAAAACTGTCATAAAGGAATTCCAATTCTTCGAAATCGGTAAATTTTAAATTTTCTAACGAAGCTTTGTTGTGCCGAGGGAATAAACTCATTAAAACCAGCGGATATATCGATGCGATAATATTATATTAAGGACCCAAATCTCAGTCATGGTAAGTCCGATTTAAAAACTCCTTTTGGGCTTAAATACAGTGAACAATATACTACTTAAACCCACTCATTAAGCCATGATATTTCGAAAAACATTTTCCGATTTTTGTCGCGGTATTTTCATTCCTGACTCATAGTGCAATGGCGCGAAAATTGTTTGAATATGAAATCAAGGGTTTGAAAAAAAAATCAACATTTAATCCTTTGCTTATTTTAACCCCTTAAAGATCATAACCGTGTTTACACGTTCTCAAATACGGATGTGAGATTACGAAATTTTTAAAGGGACGATATTTTCTAAAATACCACTTTTTGAAAAACTTTTATCGTGGTATCTTAATGGGCATAATAACCTTTCACTAAATCCAAAACAAAAATTCGGAGATTTTTGACTGATTTTTGCAAAATAATTAATTCCTTCACCCCTTGCCTTACAATTTTTTCGATTACAGTCTCCAAAATTACTTTATCGTCAATAATTTCCAAGGAGTAAAAGAAATTCTGTATTTATTGCAAGTGTGTTAACTCGAGAAGTTAAATATTATATACTAATCAAATAGTATCTCACTAAACACTCAGGTTTGTTAAACGTATTTTGAACTCATCAACACGAGTCTGACACGATGTAACAAGGCAAGGGGTTAAGGGGTTAATTAACTTAACTTACTCGTTTATATATAAATATAATATTCATTCACTGGTATGTGTACGTTTTCTGGTGCATCCATCCCGGGCGTGGTCGCACCATCCTCGATCTCCCGAATCGCGCCTTCCGCCCACCCTTTTCTCTCGCGGTCAAACCGAAATCGCGCCTCGAGGTGCACGACGACCGCTAAAAGAGCAATAGGAGAACCACCGCGACGGTCTGTCGATGACTCGGCGTGTCGAACCTGCTAGGGGCAAAGAACAGCGGGGGGCCGTCCGAGAGGGGAGGACGGAGAGCCCGTTATAAGCTCGAGCACCGGCTATTCAGCAGCTTAGCAACTTAGTCCCGGTCCCAGGATCCCTACTGGTAACACCGGCGGCCCGGGAGCCCCTCTTGACATTTCGTGCTCTACCAGAGTTCACCGGTGATTCTGTTTCCCTTGGTTACCGCGAACGTATATACACGAACGTCGTCCACGATGCCAGTGTTCTTCGTGCAAACGCTCTTTGTCGCGATCCTGATGACCACGGTGGTCATAGGTCACGCCGAGCCCGCGGGCAAATCGACGATCTTCAGGTCCACGTTGGATGAGCTCGGTCAGGAAGACGAGGACAATAACGCGGTGGTCGTTGAAGGTGAGTCGTGTGTACCCGTGAAACCTCCAGCTGATTTAACAGTTTAAGCTAGTGTACAGTATATCATCGATTAGTGTTCGAAGGCTCCTCCGCACTTAACATTAAATATTTTATAAACGGTCATATGCGGTTGAAACAAATATCATTGGCTTCAGAAGTTCTATCACTGAACTAATTCTTATTAAGAAGTCAGTGTTACACCTGAAGACCTGTCCTTGTCAGGAACCTTCGAACACTCATCGAGGATTTACTGTATACAAATCGTCTTTGAAATGCTGTTCATATGATATCTCCTCGGCCATCAGAGACACCGTCGTACCGAAAAGATTAAATCCTCCATTAATCTTCAAGTGTAATTTCTGGTGTACTAATTCCTTGCTCCATTGACTTCTGGAAAGTTATTAAATTATTTTTAACTATTCTCCAGGTAATATTAAACTTTTCTGTCTTACGTGTGAATGATCGAAGGTGAGCATCGACAATGTGATCGATCTATCTTCGCGCGTTCCATACACGGCGAACGGAAGTCTTCGAACCGCAGCGTCACACGTGTGTGTTTGTGATCCCCGGAGGTCAGCGAACTCGCTGTCGATCCGGATGGAATTCTATTGTAATATCTCTCCTCGTCCGAATTAAATTAAAAGATGAAGGATTAGAACGGCATGGGTCGGAGCCCGATGGTCCTCCGCCAATGGCTACGAAAGTGTGTCATTTTCCTGGTCCTTTGCAATTAAAATTCTCTGCAACAGTAGGACTGTATCAGAATGTGTCCCGTCGAACATGAGAGGAATACGATTCGCGATGGAACAAATGTACATGTCTTGTACGCAGTTCGAAGCTGCACACGATTCAATGGTAATTTTTACGGTGAGGCGAGGTCCGAGGTGAATAGGCGCGAATCGAGAACAATTTGAAATACTTTTGCGTAAAAGTCATCTCGGTTCATGAGTTTCTTCTCCGATGGATGTAACCGAAAGTTGAAAAGCCCTCTGTGGCGCCGATAACACAGTCTTCTTGACAAATGTGTCACGCTGGTACAAAGGCGTTACGTAGCTTGGACAATCTGCATTCATTACAACGGTAGACGATGTGTCATTCACTGTCGGACATCGTTAATGCACGCACGTGTGTACACCTGTGTACGTGTCGAAGAAGGTACCCCTGGTCTAAGAATTACTCGATAAATATACGATAATGTGTCCGCAGGGCCAGATCTATGGAGGCGCATGCAGGGCAACTGTGTCGTGTAGTCATCATGGTAGTAAGTAGAAACGGAATGCAAAGAACAGACGCGCTAACCAAGTCCCATTCAATTGCTCGCGTAGCCAACAGATATTTAAAGTCGATTTTCTCGAAAACGGAGTTATAAAATAATTTTTTATTATCATAAAAAAAAATTTTATTCCACATATTCAACTTATATTTTTATTTAGAATCACCCCATTTCCGGTTGTATCACCAGTTACCGATCACCCTGTATATAAATGTTTATTAATAAATTATCATTTTATTATACACAGCCATCAGTGATTTCGACGCTCGATTCGACACGAGAGACGGCCGCGGCATCCTATGGAACGGGATCTCGAATCGCGACTCCTGTCTGACATCGAAAGGCGAAATCGGCCGTTGCACCGGCTTCAAGGAATGTTACCCTTACTTCAAAATCCCTGATCTGAGCCCTCTCGACGGCTGGGTGCTTGGCGTTTACGACACCTGTAGCTACATTCGCGAAAATGGTCAAACGAATTTCGGAATCTGTTGCTCGAATCTACTACCGGTTGTTACATCACCGTCGGACAACAAGGACGAGGACCCAATCGATCCGATCATAGAAGACCCCCAGGTGAACGAACGTTTCAATTTCATAAGAACCATCAAAAGTAACCTAACCCCAATACTACACCATCCCACGATAAAATTTACTAATACCAGTTGCCCGCAAACCATTGGTTCGCAATCGATTAAACGACTCGCTAGAACGAAGTTCCCAATCGTTCATAGAGTTCGATTGGTTACCAGGAACTCGTAAAAATAATACGTGATCCGAATCGAAAACGTTAGATCTACAGTAGAAAGTCGTGGCCCGATCTCTCTCTCTATCGGTCAACGCTCGATTTCGCAAAACGAACTTTTACGACTCGGGTTAAGTACTACAATGCCCGACTCTAGTGCTTTCCCTTTCATCTGTGAAATCTTTATTCCAGCTCCATCTTCTTATTCCCATAACGCTGACCTATGTATGCTGCTTTAATACATTTCCAGCCGACTAATGAAAAGTATAACGAACCGCCCACCATCAAACCAAGGCCACAACAACCCGGTGGCTGGCCACCGCCGATCCCAACGCATCCACCTGATCACACGTTGCCACCGTTGCCCACCCATCCGCCGTACCTCGAGTTACCGACGATCTCCACGGTGAAACCAGTTTCCAGCTCGAAAAAACCAGGCCTTGGCACCACCTGGCCGACGAAGAAACCCGCCTGGTGGCCAGGCGCGCCGACCACCACCGGGAGACCGTCGACGTCGTCGTCGTCTAGTGTCATCCCGGTCGCGGACACATCCCAATGCGGGGCGAAGAACGGTATTCAGGATCAGGAACGCATCGTTGGCGGCCAGAATGCCGACCCAGGCGAGTGGCCTTGGATCGCGGCCCTCTTCAACGCTGGCAGACAGTTCTGCGGCGGTTCGCTCATCGACGATAAACACATTCTCACCGCGGCTCATTGCGTTGCCAAGTAAGTCGTCGGAGGAAAAAGAACGGCGGGCGGCATCGCATGACAAAAGCCAGACCTGCGAGGAATTTCTGTGTTTCAGCCGGTCGATTGGGTTCGGCTCCGTTCGTTTAAGAATAGTTTCTAACTAAGCTAGTAGTAAACTTAGTACAGTGGACTCTTGATACATTGCAGCTTGCTATATTGCCGCGGGAGGCACTTCCCCTGTACACCCACGTGCAAACTCGGGTTCCGTTAGGGAAAAAGTAGCGTACTTGAAGGGTCACATACCACTTGGTAAATGTTAAACAAGTACTGAAATAAATGCTAAATTAAATGTCAGTAACTTCCGAAACCAAGTGGTAGGAAGCCCTTTTCCTATGCCACTTTTCAATTCAAATATCGCAATTTGGATACAATCATTGCATTTACCGTGGGGTAACAGGTTGTAAGGAAAATGGACCAATTGCGAGTTTCCCATAAAATTAGTCGATTTCTTTTCCACACTGGTACCTGCGAATCAGTATAGATTTAATTAGGGATAAATAGATAAGATAAGTATAGATTTTACTTAGAATATTATATAATTTGGGGATTGTGCAGGTGTACCATGAAGCAACCATGTCGATTCCATTTCTGATTACCGTAAAAATGCTTCACCTTCTCGTTAACTGGACTCGAATGTTCTCAGCATGAATCCTTGGGACGTGGCAAGACTAACGGTCCGACTTGGTGACCATAACATCAAGACCAACACGGAGGTCAGACACATCGAGCGGCGAGTGAAACGTGTAGTCAGACACAGAGGCTTCAATCTACGCACCCTGTACAACGATGTCGCGCTTCTCACTCTCAGCGAACCTGTCCCGTTCACGGAACAAGTACGACCAATTTGCCTGCCAAGCGGTTCACAGCTGTACTCTGGAAAGACGGCTACAGTTATCGGCTGGGGTTCCTTGAGAGAAAGTAAGAGCAGAAATGTTTAAACTGTAGCGATGTTGCTAATTCGCTAGATCCAGCCATGAACTTCATGACTAGACAAATGGTATAAATCATAGGTTCCCAAAGTGGGTGCTACCGCCCACCGGTGGGCACTGGCGAGATCTAGGGAGGCGTTTTAGTTATTTTCATGTCTTTATTTTCAGTCTAACTTTTTAAGATTCAAAGATTAAGCGCACAACTAGACTTGGAAATTTTTATAACAGAGATAGTTTAACCGAAAGGGGCACTAACCAAAAAAAACTTTGTAAAAGGGGCAGTTAGTCGAAAAAGTTTGGGAAGCTATGGTATATATGATGGTGTAATGAGAATGGTAGTATAATATGTTTGATTCGTCTAGGTGGACCGCAACCAGCAGTCCTTCAAGAGGTCTCGATACCAATTTGGTCGAACAATGAGTGTAAAGTGAAGTATGGCGCGGCAGCACCTGGTGGTATTGTGGACAGCTTCTTATGCGCAGGAAAAGCTGCGAAGGACTCTTGTTCAGTGTGTATTTCGGTCTTCTTTCTTGCCTGTATTCCTCTGAATCTCTTGCTGAAGTAATGTCTATTACAGGGTGATAGCGGTGGTCCCTTGATGGTCAACGACGGACGTTGGACCCAAGTGGGTGTCGTCAGCTGGGGCATCGGATGCGGGAAAGGTCAATATCCAGGTGTCTACACGAGAGTAACGCATTTCCTGCCCTGGATCACTAAGAACCTGAAGTAAAAATACGGCAGGGAATATTCTGCTCTTGCTTAATGTAGTATTTCGCTCGTTATCATCCTCATCATCATCATCCAAGCACACGATACATTATCATATAGGATAAATAAGATGTTTTGTAGACACACGAACCTAACAGGCTTCTTCATATCATTCGTCGAGAAAACCCATCAACGCTGCCACATACTTGTTTTATGCCGACCATAATCATGATCGAACAGAAACGTATAGTTAAATCCACGAATCTTCACTTACGATTAAGTAAAACACACAGAAATTATAAGTCGTAATAAAATATTTTATAATATTACACATGTACAACTATATAAAAATAATAGTTTTACGATGTAACAATTCTTGCGTTAATGGTGTTTTATTCCCGTCACAGAGCAGGCAGTGTATATAAACGGCTTTCCCCTGAATCACGTATCGCAGTTGCTCACGTCCAGATGCTGCATAATGTTCCGTGCTGAAAATAAGAAATAGATTTTGGTAAATACATGACTTGTTCTCTCGATACATCATTCGGGCACCGACTGAAAAAAAAATATGATAGGTTGCCGCTTATTTCACTGAGTGCACTTACCTTGAAAATAGCATGTATCATAATTGTCGTCAGGTTGAGGAACAAATGGTGGGACCGCCTTTATCGGTTCACTCCAAGGGAAGTCGTGGAAGAGATTCATAGTCCGCACTTTCTTCGCCGAGGGGCGTTCTTGCTGGTCTAACGTCAGAAGAGCATCAATGGCTTCCGTGGCCGCGGACGACAGCGCCTCTTCGTCCTCCGGCCACGGAACATCTCTAGCTAAAATATTGGCGAACACAGCTTGCGGTGTTTCATCATTAAATGGCGGAAGACCGGTGCAAAATTCAAATAGACAGACACCCAACGCCCACCAATCTACCGCCGGTCCGTGGCCTTGTTTCAGAAGTAACTCTGGAGCTAGATAATCAGGTGTTCCAAGGATACGATCGTCTGATCTATTGACAGCAGCCTGACCACCTCTTCTGACAGACTTTGGTGTTCTGTAAGGTGTGTAGCAGGTGCTCGATGTTGCGGGAGTCTTAATAGGTGATATACCCTGAGGAGAACGGTGCTCCACCGACGTGTCTATTGACATATCAGGAGCCAGGTGTGATGCCATAGGCGGTGGAAGTTGGAATCTTGTAGCTTTGATCAGGGGTACTGTTTCAGCACCACCTTTCTCCTCCTCCTCTTCGCTGTGACATCTCTGCATAGTCCTTTCTTTTTGTTTCATGGACGACACTGGTGTACTAAAGGCAACCCTCCCGCCTGATCCACCTTCCTGTCCTCCATTTACACGATTAACATTGTTTGATTGCTTCATCGATTCAGGAACAGTGGAATTTATAGGACTTCTGGAAAATATACAACCACGATTCTTTCTTTTCGGCGTTTTGTCTACTTCCAAATCCATAGCGTTTATCTCGCACGTAAGACCGGTTGCGCCCCCCGTTGTGGTCCTCTTCCTCTTTGCACCCCTCGTAAGCGTGCTTACGCATGTACTCAATGGGCTAGTATGGAAAAGAGTCTGTTGGGACTGCTCTGCTTCTAGTGTCGACTCATCTTCGTCATCCACATCTTGATTTAATTGACTATTAATGCGAATAGAAGATGCTTCGCACGTATGATAACTCCCGGAGCTACTCTCTTGTTCACCGTCTGCGGTTTCAGCTATGATTTTCTCTCCGAAACGTTCCCCGAACCGAAGATCCTCAGCGGATTGAAATGGAGTGATACCAGATACCCGAGAATAGTCTCCGGATGCAACGGAAGAAACGACTGAGTTAGGCGACGATTGGATTTTAGTACAATTCCGTTGCAACGCGGCAAGCAAGTTAACGCCGGGCGTACTTCTATCGCTCAAATTAGATTCGCTAGTAGATCGGTGTCCAGAACCAAAGGACAAGTGCGACGTCAACGATAAGAGCTGTCCAGGAGTTCTAGCACAGAGGCTGGGTGTACAATTCATTAAATCTGATATTTCAAGATCTCTATGTAAGGATATTTTACTGAGTCCAAAATCCGTCAGCTTGACGTGTCCCTCTCGTGACAAAAGCATATTATCTGGCTTTAAATCTCTATGTACAATCCCATGGGAGTGAAGATAGTCCAATGCAAGACACACTTCTGCAGTATAAAAAGCTGCCATGGACTCTTCCATATACCCATACACTCCCAGTAAGCTCTTAAGATCTCCACCCACCATGTACTCCATCACTAAATAGACACTGCTCACAGACTGCAGTGAATAAAATAATTGTACGCAATAAGGACTACGAGTTAAGGCCAATGCATTTCGCTCAATTATTACTTGAGAAGCCATGTTCTTGTTTATCATTTCATTCTTCTTCATTACTTTAATCGCATACACTTTCTCAGAATTAGACTTCTTGTAACCAAGGAACACTTTGCCAAATGCTCCACGACTTATAGGTTTCACAATTTTGAAATCCTGAATTTCTGGTACCTGAAAATTCAATGTAAAATGATTAAATCAGTGTTTTAATTGTAAAAAAGATGAAGAATAAACATTAAGAAGTGTTGAAATATACCTACAGTAATCAAAACAATGCAACTCAATGTAAGAGACATAATCAAGTCTTGCGATCAAGTACTCAGAATAATGAATTCATTGAGGATGTATGAACGTCAACAAGATGTTATGAGATAATTCAGGTATAATGTTTCCTTCTTTCTTACCTTTGCCGCAGGGTTAACAATTTTAGAAATGGTATTGAAGATAGAGTTGTCGATTTGTCTACTCGCCGATGTCTGTTCCGGTGTACATTCCCCATACGGAATCTCCTGTTCATTCTCAGTGTCATTGCCGTTCCCGCACTGTTTCTCATCATCTGTCTCGATGATTTGATCATTACCGTCTAAACGTGAATTTGGCGAGTCAATCGCCGCCTCTTCCATTTAAATAGGTAACCTAGCCGGGACTAAGCCGCAAACCTACGTAACGGAACGTCAAATACTGATGTTTCTACTCATAGAATAATACTGCGACTCGAGAAACGCGAGGTTTTATTCATCGTTCTTTCATATTGCGTATGTTTTCCCCGCACCTTAGATAAATATACTTTAACGGCTATCTGACATTTTTGAAAATCAACATGTTGATCATGTGACCCATGTGACAACCTCGTTGCAACTTCATAACGCTCAGGTAATCACGACTACCACACCTAGGTAATCACACCTTTTCTCTATATACGTGTAACTTCCCTATCATGTTACAATAACTGATTAATTTAAATTCTTCTTAATCCATCAAAATTTCTTAGACTTTTGCACTGGTAATGATACTAATTTAGAAACGATATCAATGTGAATATTATGATAGAAATTGTCATAAAAAACAAATGCACGGTGCTTTTTCATTATATACATTCTAAGTGAAACGTAATTAATAAGAACGAAAATTTCCAGTGGTGTACTTAAATAGCAATACTTTTATCCCGCCTTTGAATTTTTTTAATACTCGCAGGAGCTCGGCAACTGCAAGCAACTGTATGCAACAATCGTTGATCGCCGCATGTCGTACGAAGTATTTATTTAAATGCGAGCTTATCACAACAGTAGAATTCGATTTTGTTAAAGTTCATATCGTCTTTCGTTCTCTGTCGGTCCCATTTGAAGCGTCACACATTTCAAACGTTACATCCTCGTAACCCCATTATGTCTGGTAAAGTAGTAAAAAGAGCTCCTAAGAAAAAAGGTGCGAACGCCTACAAATTACCCGATCCAATATCACCCGGCGAGATACTAACAGACATGACGAAGAAGCAGTGGATTCTTGGCAAGTCGATTGGTGTTGGAGGATTTGGCGAAATTTATTCTGGTACAGATTCTTCGTGCCTTTTAAAATCATACTCTATCGTAAACAATGCTTTATTTTCGTTCTTTTTAAAAATGACATACAATTCGTTATACTAAATTAATTACAATGGTAATTGCAGCTGCTCCTTATGTCGGGAAATCTCCAAAAGATTATCACAATGTCATCAAAATTGTAAGTATTCAATTCCTCTATTATATGCCCTTGATTGTTTAAAGTAATGCTATATACATATATATATATATATTTCTTGGGAATTGGAAATTGTAGGAACCACATGGAAATGGACCATTGTTTGTAGAAATGCATTTTTATATGAGGAATGCCAAACCAGATGAAAGTAAGTCACTTACATATAGGATGATTTTGAATGGATAATACATTTGAATAGGAGATAATTTTATAAATGAGAATTAGACTCTAAATTTCATTCGTGTATAGCATACACAAAGATGTACATTTCAGTTCAGTGATTTTTAATGCAAAGATAATAAGTAAAAGACTAAAGTTCATTTGTACAATAATTCCTACAAGGTTGTATTACCCATCTTGAAATGTTATTTTCATTTCCTTGAGTAAATATTTATGCGAATACTGTGTTTTAAGTTGATAATTGGAGGAAAAAAAAGAAGCTTCCTGTGCTTGGTATGCCTTGTTATATTGGCTCTGGCAGTCATGAATACAAAAATACTAAATACAGATTTGTAGTAATGGATCGATATGGCATGGACTTATGGAAACTGTTTGAAGAAAATAATAGACGATTTCCAGAACACACAGTATATAAAGTAGCTTTACAAATAGTAAGAAGCAATGCAAAAGCTATTTCTATTATTCTTATACACAATATTATACTGATATTTAATATGTATGATTCTAAAAAAATATTATGCTTATGTTTCTAGGTAAATGTATTAGAATACATCCACTTTAAAACGTATGTACATGCAGATATAAAAGGAGCAAATTTATTGTTAGACTTGAAATGTCCAGATCAAGTATATTTAGTAGATTTTGGATTAGCATCTCATTGTACAACAAAAAATGAATATAAATTAGATCCGAAGAAAGCCCATAATGGAACCATTGAATATACTAGCAGAGATGCCCACATGGGAGGTAACTATAATCTTTATATGGAAATTTTCAATACATCATATGTGTTTCTAAATGTTAGAGTAACATTATGTATCTTTTAATTTTAGTGCCAACAATGCGTGGTGATTTCGAAATTTTGGGCTACAATATAATTCAATGGTTATGTGGTTCACTCTTATGGGAAAAAGACTTAACAAATCCAGCCACGGTACAAACACAAAAAGAAAAAGCATTTGAGAATATTCCAGAGTTTTTAAATAAGTCTTTTCAAGGATCGATTCCGAGTCCTGTACTTAAATATATGAGTCAGTTAGCAAGTATGAAGTTCAATGATACACCGGATTATGAAAAATTTAAGAAAATACTAGCGGACGGCTTAAAGCAGCTGTCGCATAAGCCGGAGGGGAAGTTGGAATTTAAAAGTGATGTTAATAATCATAAAGGACAGGTTCCGAAGTCCAGGACTCCGCAAAAGGTAAAGAAGACAACAGTAGATAAGAGTAGGAAAAGTCCACGTGTGAGAGCACTAAAGAAACTAAGTCCTGTAAGGAATCTTGATGATAGTACTGTAGGTATTGTAATGGATAAAAAGCGTGGTGGCGTGAGAGATATAAAACAAATATTAGACGATATTGAATCTGATGAAGAATATGATATAAAAATAGTTAAAAAAGTGAAAAAAGTTGACAATTCAGTTCCCGTAAATAAATCTGAACGTAAAACGACTGTGGTAAAAAGAAGGAAAAAAATTCAAGTGAACAACCGCAATGAGTCAATGTCAGATTCTGAAACAGAGGTAAAATATGCATGTAAAATAAGATAATAATAAAAAACATATATATTTATATTTTATGTATGTAATACATCTATACTTTATCTCTGCAGATTATGTCAAAAGGAACAAGATCACGTCCTAGCCCAGCCCGAAAGGCGACATCAAGAAATAAGAAAGTACATACAGAATCATTGACGGCCCCGGAGAATGCCTCTGATGATGATATGTTCTCTGTTTAATTTTCGTAAACGTAACCGATTTTGTTCCGAATGCGTTTTACGCATTAAACCGAATTTTTAGTCGACAGAATACTTGTACATTGATGTATTTATTTCGAAATTTGTAAAGCCGTGCTTTGTTAATACGTTAACTGTATAAAAGGAGTACTATTTGCAAGTACACTTTACCTTTCATGTAACTTGTACTGACAAAAATCAATATATATTTTGATACTTGTTCACGTTAAGAGACTTGTATAAAGTATGTAAAAAAAATTCGGAATTGCAGCCTGGAGTACTAACTATCAAACAGTATTAATTATCCAGAACTAAATGACGCACTATAAATCAAGTAGCGATAAATGAAAAAGAAACATTGGATTTCAAGCAAACTATTATTGAGAAGAATTTTAGCAGTATATAGAGTTCTGTACAAGCGAATCATTTTATATACATACAAATGCACGTTTGATTTTTTAACAATATTTAAAAATTATGAAGACGTTATAGTACCTGAATGCATGCTTTGCATGTTCCTTTATAGCAAAAATAATAACTTATTGGTAACATAAATTGGACCGTAAATTTCTCTATATACATTTTGTATACAGTATTTTGGCAATATTCTACAGGAAACGCTTACTTCTTTAATTTTTGTATTTGTGGAGCGCTAATCTTAACTTTTCCGGGAATATTTCTAGCTATTGTTTCTTCCTTAACAGCTTTTAACAAGTCTTTTTCTCGCAAAGTAATCTCTTTATCCTTTAAGAATACTGCCACTGCTGTTTTTGCTGCTTTTCCTCTCTTGCCTGTTCCTGGTGTTAATTTTACCTTGAATCTGAAAAAAAATACATAATATGTAAATACAGCGAATAAAAATTGTGATATAAGTTTGACGAAAATGCAGTTTCATTTACTTGTAATTCAATACAGTATTATAAGGTGCAACTACTGGTATAGCAAATAGCAGTTCATCTTCTGTAACTGGTTTTCCCGTCAGCTGATCCAGCATGTCTACTTCCGGTCCTGGACCCGTATCTTCTTCTTCAACATTATCTACAACTTGAGAATTTTGTGGTGGACGTGGTTTCGCTGTACCTTTCTTTTTTCCTTGTTGTTTTGGTCCAGATGGATCTTTATTTTTATTCTTTCGTTTATCCTCTTTTGCAGCACCTGCCGACTATATATAATTTAATTATTATGATGCAACATTTTGATACAGTACAAGGATTGTATTCAGGAACTATACCTACTTGAAGTACTAGCATAGATAATCGTCTATCTTCCTCATCCTGATCTTTATACTTCTCCTTCATTTTCTTCAATCTTCCTTTCTGTCCTCTTTTTAATATTAATTGATCATTCTTTTTACTCTCTATTTCAGACTTTTCATTATCGTGTTTAAAAGGTTGCTTCTGATTACTTTTATTAGAACTCTTTTCCTTAACAGCAGTATTTATGATTACAGGTTTGTCATCGCCCAAATAAATCACATTTTCTTCATTACTTTGTAATATTTTTGATTGATTCTTATCGACATGCAGCTTCATTCTATAATACCAGAAACCGCCATCTTATATTAACTTTCATAATAAGGATATTCCAAATTTATATGCTCCTGTGACTTACTTAGGACCAGATATATCAATTTTAATTTGTGTATCTGGAAACTGTGATGTACTCTCGTCTTCATCGCTACTATTTCGATTAACATTATCTTCTTCTGTGATTAAATCTTCCTTAGATTCTTCCAGAATGGGATTTAGGTCATCTTTCGTTTCAAGCTGCTCTTCTGTTCGATGCATAGTATTGAAAAAATGAATTAATAATCATGAAATCAAATTAGTAATTATTATATGATGAACAAATATATTACTTAAAATACTGTTGTAATTATCATTTCACCTTCATCAGAATCTCCTATTAATTCGATTTCTTTGTCTTCTTCAGTTACAGATTCTATGTGTTCACTTTCATCGTCCACAATTCTGACCCTCCTCTCATCTTTGTGTCGTTCAACTGAACTTTCCTCTAAACGAAACAGAAATCCTAATCCCATAATCAACTGGCACGGGGGCAAATAATTCTTCTTTCCACGAATCATGAACGACCCGGTAGTAAGATATTCACCAGTCGGAGCTGTTTTTGACACCTGGTCATTGTTTACCCACCATGCTCCAGCCACTACTTTAGCCTCCCACGCAATACTAATAATACCACATTTTTATGAGATTTCCAAGATACAAAATATCTATTGATGAACTATAAAGTCCTAGGGTAGATCCAATTACTGTCCACCTTAACACTGTGTGGCAGTATTGGTGACACTGGCAGTAATTGAGGTGTTTACCCTACGTACATACCTATAAGCTACAGCCATTGTGCCTGCTTCAGCCAAAGTTTTTGGGGGGACTGGATCACCACCAGGATTTTTAATTACAACAGAACTGGCACCAGTTAAATCAGCATGAACATAGAGATCTCCAGATTTAAGATACCTTTTCACAATCAATTCATTTTGCTGTTGATCTCTTCCACCAATTACTATAAAATTACGAAATTCTTAATATACATATCACCGCAATAAAATAATCTCATGAACGTACCTAGATAATTTTCAGAACTAATAAACCAATAGAATTTTTCAAACCAATATATTTTTCTCAACTTGTTAATGCTATGAATGGCTTGCACCTCTTTCAATGTTTGCTTTGTTTTCTTTTCTGCAGATTTCAAGGCTTTATCCTGAGACTCTATTGTTTTTTGTTGCTTTTTAGCTGCTGATCTCTTCTGACTGTAATACTTTGTAGCATTTCCAAAAGCAGTGTGAGCTAAGTCAATATCAATCAACAGAGGTTTTAATTCCGATTCTTCGTCGCTGTCTTCATAGGGATCGTGTAAAAGTAATGAAATGTGATTTGTCTCCAATTTCAATTGTTTTATCGCAGATGCAACAGGATCCCCCCTGCTCTCTGCTTCTTTCAACAGGACCTTTATATCTGGCCAAGCCATCTGATTTGCGAGGGCACTTTGTATAGCTAATATAGCATTGTCTACTAGAGCTTGATTTCTGGAAATTAATTCCGCTTTCTGCTTATCTATCTCTTGAGTCTTCCCAAGTGTTATCAACCTCTGATCGTGATCTTTCCTAACATTTTCCAATTTCTTAAGAGCCTCGCGTTCCTGTTGCAAAACCTTCAAGTCTAACTTCTGACCTTCCATAGCAGAAAAGTATTCATCTACTGCAACATCGAAAGATGCAAGCTCTTTATACGGAGAGTTTTTATGTTGTTCAAATAAAAATGGATGAAATTCAATGTTAGTATATATAAAATCCTCTTTGCCATCTGTAGTCGGTTTTGTTTCTTTCTTTTGTATAATGTAACCCTGAGAGACATTCTTGGTCGCAGACTCCATCATTTCATTTGCACATTCCAAGGCCAGAATTAACTTTGGCATATGATCCATAACATTGAAATCATTGCCTATTCTGCAGCCAAGGGTAAATGCATGCTTTAATAAAACATGATCAATTAATGATGAACCAAATTCTAGAAGTGGGTTCAAGACTTTCTTGAGAGTTTCTCCTGGTTTAGCATTTTGGAGATGCTGTTGAATTTCTTCTATTGATGGCATAGTATTTTTATGGGCACGATCCATAGGATATTTCTCTTTAACAGCAAACCTATGCATTGTACGCACTTGTTAAGATTGTTCTATAGTAAACTAATTACTTCATTTCTGTTATAGCTTACCTAATTTTATCTGCCTCTGTATGAGGTCTCAATATGTTTAAAATAGTCATTTCGTGATCTGTAAGAACTATGTTACCCCTATCATATAATTCTAATATTACATGATACGCAGCCTCACCACTACCAAACTGTAAATTTATTATTCTATCTACACCGACTTGAGTAAGGCTTTCAAGTCGTTTGTTTTTGAGATGTTTACGCATCTGTAATCATTAATTTCAGTATCATGTATGAACTTTATTATGTAAAGCATAGAATAATTCAAATATTAATATATCGAACCTTCATTGAAAATCCTGATGGTGCTACATTTTTTGACCATTCGAAAGCTGTTGTGTGAATTCTGATACCCGATTCCAATAAAAGGATGCATTTTTCTTCGCTTCGTTGAAGACGTATAAGATAAGTTCGATGATCAATATCATATATTTGATTTACACGCATACCGACGAGCCTAAAAGATCAAAATTAGCCATAGACGCGTCTACATAGTAAATCTATCAAAAAAGCTTGAAAATAATTTATAAGACTTCAACGAAATACATTATATTTACACAATCTTATCATAACCTATAGAATACAAGACCTAAATATAGATTTTATTATATATTTACATGATGTACTTACTTTTGCAACTCGCTTAGAGTGCACACGATATCATACGAATTAAATCGAGTCTTCATTTTTCTACGTATTCTATTTCTTATATTCCAAACAAATTATCAAAATGTTACGATATTTAGTACATCACATAACCGTCATATTGCGTGCATGTAGCGCACTGCACTGACAACTGACAATGTAACAATATCTATCGATATGTATCTATAACAAATTAAAATAGTGAGTCACAATAAAAGCTTCATTTTATGAAAAAAAATCATACAATTTACAACTACGTATTTTTGATTATTTAAAATTATTTATTGCATTTAGTCAACGTTTAATTTTTTATTTATAATAGAAAATGACATCACATCTTTCATCGACAGATGTTTTGATAGAAGTACACACGACATTAAGGATAAGGATATGGTATAAAAACAGAAACTGTGGATATCGGCTTTTAAATTTTTTATTCAATAATATGAATAAAGTGTAAGATGAAATTTGTAGAAATTAACGGTAAGATTTCTGGTATCGTGCCCTGGCACCTGGACCACCAAACTTCTTTGGCTCGCACCGCCTTGGGTCAGCAACCAAGAGGGTTCTGTCATACTGAATGAGGATATCTTTTACTTCCTTCTTACTTGCTTCATCAACATCTGGAATATATATTAAGGTTTTATAGTTTCACATAGATCCTAACACCTTTGTTATTTAAGTATATTATAAATCTTTCAATAAAAACTTACACTTCTGGTAGTATGCAACAAGAGCTTTGGAAATAGCCTGACGGATAGCATAAATTTGCGCGACATGACCACCACCATTTACTCTGACCCTGATGTCAACTTCAGAGAATTTTTCCTACAAAAAACACATAATAATTAATCACTACATCTCTTTATGACATTTTCTTTCCATAGAAAGGCATAGAATTCTCAGTAATCTCTGATATAATCAACTCATTCATGTTCGGAATAAGAAAACATCATAGAATAATGTTAGAGTTAAAAGCTACTCTTCTTTAATTGAGAACAAGATAAAGAAACACTTCAAGCTTTATAAAGGCAATTACTCACTTTGCCGAGTAACAAAATGGGTTCCTGCAATTTGTATTGAAGAACACGAGGTTCGACTAATTCCAAGGGACGACCATTTACACGGAGATTTCCACGGCCTCGTTTGCAATAAGCGACCGCGGTTGCGCTTTTCTGTAAATAATAAACGTGTATGGTTAAAGAGGGACATGCGTGAACATAACCTGACTTATTTGTTGCCAGTTACCACTCACTTTGCGTCCGAAGACTTGCACGGACTGGATCGGTTCCTTTTGTTTCTATAGGAAAAGTAATCACATATCATTCTCACAGCGTACATTTACTTTTCGCAAAGTAAGAGACATTTATGTGAGTCACAGTACGAAAAACTCACCTTCTGCATTTTGGAAAGCACGTCGTGGAAAGGAAGTGGAACGAAAGCGGTACAATGTTTTCGACAATAGTACTACGGTAATCATGTATATACTTCAAGTAATTTCCGCTTGTTAGAGGGAAATACAAATTAGTAAAATATATAGAATAATAAAGTAAAGGGATTATAACATTAAAGAATATGTTTCTATAAATAAATTACATGGGAAATTAATCAATTTCATCTTTGAAGGCAATTTGGTAACTACTTCATCTCACCTTCTTTCTGAGAAAAGCTGATTACACTCATTAACCGAAGTTTTCCACTACTGGAATACACATAAAAATGACTAATCACCTTAATTGTTGTATGTCATTGAACTCGCCTTTAAAATGGCTATCGAATACCGACAAAAAAAATATAACAAATTAAAATTACTGTTACTGTACGCCAGCTACCACAAAATCAAAGAACTTGTGTAGAAAACATTTTTATGAACTTTTAAATAGTATAGCAAAAATATTTCAGGTGAAGAATAGACTTTTTACGAAACTTCATGACTCAAAGAATCTGCAATACTGGCACCTGCAACCTGTAATTTTAACGGCTTCCGTGCATGTCATAACAACGGGAGTTATGGTCAATCCAACTCGAGTTTAGCTAGCAAAACCTCTACAATATTGCCAAATCTAAGTTTTCTTCAATTCTCCAATGAAACAAAGCTTGCATTTATTACTTAATTGGTAATATCTGTCAGATATTTCAAAAACTTCGACTCTGTTGACAATTGGCGGGAAATATTCATCATAGATGGCGTTCACGAAAATATCGAAGATTCAAAATAATCGAGAAAAGTGCAGTACAAATATCATGACTCATTGTACGTTGCACAGTAATTCTTTTCCTCTAAAACAAATTGGAATACCAAAATTTCGGGGTTAGAGGGAGTTATGTATGCAATGTTCAATTCCTTTATTAATCGTAAAGTGAACGTGAGTGCGATTTTTCTAAAATTGATCAAACAGAGACATAAAACATATGACTGAAATTGTTCACAATCAGACGACGTCTGCGAAATTGAATATCATCCTTGTTTGTACTTCTGTCTTTCCGTTTTATGAGATTTAATGTCTGCTGGGCTAATCTCGAGTTCACATAATGAAAACATTATACGAAAGTGCATATAATAGTGGTTAATATTCTATTTCGTTGAAATAAAAATTGGAATGGGGAGGGGACCTACCCTCATCCACCGACAGTCGAAGGACGACCAAAGGTCATTCGTCTCGTGAATATGGGAATGATAAGACGTGAAGTGAGCTTGTTCGACCGTTGATTTCCATGTATGTATTTATACTAGTTATTATAGTGTCTTTATTATCCTTATGTATCATTACTTTCGTTTTGTTTTTACCGTATTTCGAGCAAATAATCATAAATTAATTCGATAATGCAAGAGAAAGTGAATCGGTCTTCGCGACTTCCGTTCTCCACCCAGTACCGATTAACATATACGCATTTCTGGTCCAATTTACAATGCTTAACCACACTCTTCGATTGTTCATTTGTGACTCAACTATTATAACTTTAATATAATTACTTGGAATAAACTTTCACTTTCTGTTTCTGAATTCCGACTGTAATGTACGCCCTACTAACACCATGAGTGGTTGACTCCATTCAAACGCAATTTAGTAGAAAATTGGCGAACTTTGGTAATTAATTATAACAAAATAGACGACATTTCACAATATATTTTTATTTTATTGTGAAATTATTGATAAAAAAATATTGATACTTGTACTTTGTGCCTACTAATCTATTGTCTTTTCAGCTTCTAATCCACTGAATTAGTTTATATTTCAGATTGCCTACAATAAATTCCTATAATAATTGCGGATCTATCAAAATAAAAGTTCACAATCTTAAGAGATATGATATTACGTTTCTAATCCTTTCAGCTTTTGTTTCAGATAATCATAATGGGATCAAATTATAAATTTATCAATATAAAATTACTATAAACACGTGATGTTAGAATTCTTTGACTCTACGTTTCAGAAATCATCGTGTGAAGATTTTTCTACATATCAAGTTCATCACTAAGTCATCTAGAAAAGATTGTACAGGGTGTCCCATTTAAAATGTTTCAGACAAAAGTTGAATGGTATCGGGGGCACACTTTCAATTTTGTTTTTTCGAAATTGAATCTTATATTTTTTAATGCACTACTTGGTGCTACTCGTTCTTCCCTACAAGTCCAATACTTGGAGGATCATGAAATGAGGAGGATCACAGAAAAAAAACAATTTCTTCCGAGTGCATATACTTTTTTTTATTATTATTCATAAATGTGAGCAAACTTAGTCGACTCTTTGGTTAAATATACATATTTACAAATGCATAAAAAACTAGAATAAAAACGATGCGTCTCTTATTCATAGGGATCAGTCTCTGACAATGGCAAGGTGAAATTACATTCAGGATCCATAAAGGCTCCTCTGATTTCTGCAAATAAATCGTACATCATATTTATCATTCACTTTAACCTTACGGTTTATTCTTTCTTTTACTACTCACACTTTCTCAAGACATTGTTGATAACATTGAGGAGTGGGTGCTTGGGTCCGCACTTGCCAGCGAAGTCGTCAGTGTCCATGCTCCATACCATAGCACCACCAAGATTGTGATTCTTGACATATTCAGCCTTTTCTCTGATAGACCTGCAAATGAATTTAATTACACAATGAACGTAGTGCACCAAATAGATTTAGATTCAATCCGATTTTTAATATGACACTTTCAGATTCTAGAAAGGAACCACTTACTCAACATCATCGTAGCTGATCCATTGGTTGCCCTTGTAACAATAAGGCACGCGTTGCTTCTGGTCACGGACGATGGTCCATCCATCTTTATGGATGTGCGTGCACAGACTGTTATAGTTTATATTACCATCTCCATCGGCGAAGTTCACCGTCCCTTTACCAGAAACGGGCGAGTGTGTACCGTGCTTGTTAGCATCCCTCAGGGTGAAGCTTATTCCGTAGAATGGCATACCGATGATGATCTTGTCGGCTGGGGCGCCTTGGGACAGCCAGTAATTGGCCACAGCGTTCTGGAAACGGTGATAAACTCTTCAACAATACCATTAACAAAGAAAAAACCTTAAAAGGTTATTAAATAAAAAAATTGAAAATCTTAAAGGTTTTTAAACAAAAAGGCAACACAATAACAAAGCCATCCACTTTTGAATACTTTCAGCTATTTCAAGCTTCAACCCTTTCGCTGCGGCAGAACACAGCACGAACAGTGTCCGACGACTGAATTTTATTATCTATATAAAAGAACCAAGAAGATGAAAGAGACCAAGGGAACCAAAGGAAATTTATGTTGATAATAAGATAAAATGTTTGGGCGCCTCTAGGCGTGAACTGTACACTACGAGTAAATTTGCTAAAGCTCCAACAGTAACGAAACGGTTGAAATAAATTCCGCTGATCTGAAGTGTGCGGATAGATTTTTTCAAATTCGGTACGTACGATGTTCAGTTGACGGTTGTAATCGTCCTTCTCGTCCCTAGCGGAGGCGTAAAGAGGAGAGTTCATTCCGGTGAAGGTGTCCCAGTTACCATGGAAGTCGTAGGTCATGATGTTGATGAAGTCCAAGTAATTCGAGACCTGTTTGATGTTGTACGACTGACTTGCGGAATCAGCTTCGGCGGACACTGCAGCGCTAAGACTGTACTTGCCAGCGAACGCTTCCTTGAGCATCTTCAACAGCTCGACGTAGTTTTCCTTGTCCGATTTCCGACCACCGTTTCTGTTCGGGTACTCCCAGTCGATGTCGATACCGTTGAACTTGTACTTCTTCATGAAATCGACCGCGCTCCTCACGAACCGGGATCGCGTGCCCGCGTTGGTCACCATGTCGGAGAACTTTCTCGAGCCTTCAGAGGCACCACCGACAGAGAGTATTGCCTTAGCCCCTTTACTCTTTATGGTTCTAGTGAATTCATGGAGATCAGCATCGACACCGTCATCGAGGAACTTGATATCTCCGTTGTTCTTAATACCGACGAACGAGTAGAGCACATGGGTGCAGAGATGCGCGTCGATGGCGCTGATCGGGTATTTGTCCGGCCCAGCATTGTACTTCGCCCAGCTGGCGTAGTAGCACACGATCTTCTCTGGATTGGAATGAAAATGCGTTATTTGGAATTCATTTGGTATCGGTTCTTTGAATGGAAAACTAAGGAAACCAGGAAAGCCAAGGAAACCGTGGGCACCGAGGGAAGTAGGAGAACCATGGAGATCACGGGGACCAAGGGAATCAAGGGGACCAAAGGGACCACGGAGATCAAGGGAACCAAGGGAATCCAAAGGAACTGAGGGGATCGTAGTGGAGCCAAGGAAGCCCATGGGGACCCGAGGGATGAAGGGAACCAGGGAGGCAAAGATTTACCAGCTGGTAGAAATAGTGTAATATTTTGGATGTAATGTGCGCTACTTTAACGTAATTCTACTGTACTTAATAGTTTCAATTTACTCACTCTCTGCGTATGTGGACGCAGCGATGGCCAAGACGGCCAGCAACACAATCTTCGCGTGCATCTGGAAGAAAATGATTGTTTCCTTAGTTGGTAAAATCTACACTGAATCTTGACAGTTTAACCCCTGGAGTACGGTCCCAGGTCTATTTGGACTCGAGTGTTTAAAAGCAGTATCTACCTCATCGATTTATAAATACAATTTAAGCTGGGATTTCATATTTAGTTATATAAAAAAAACAGGTGTTTTGTTAATGATCGCGTTTGAAAGTATGTTTAAAAAGACAGAAGTATAGGGTTCCAAACGTACCCAGAGAGCACTGTCTCTACAAACATTAAAAACATCCGTACTCCAAGGATGTTCCCTTTATGGACAATCAACTGATTCACAAAATACGACGATGAAAATGTATCACTCTCTTACCATCTTTTGTCAATTGCAGGTTCGATGTCTTCGACGGTTGGTTGGTGTCTATGATGATCTATGGTTCACCCAGTCGTTTTTATATTCGACTTTACGGTGTTCGTCGTTCATGTAAATGTATCAGCAAAGAGTAATTAAGCAGAAGTCACTGGCATGTGAGTAAATTAAATATTGCTTTAGTTATTCTTATCGTTCTGTCATTCAACGCAAATATAATCAACTAATAAGACGCATATACTTTGTCCCACAATAGCCATGGAACACTTGTATTTGTAGTCGTGTATTTTTGTGCTAATTTTACCGTTTCCTAATTCAGGCGTGTGCGCGGAAAGGTTAATCTGGAAAAGCAAATAGCCTGAATCACACGTAAAAAGCACATATCGTGGAAAAGGGTCACGTTTTACTGTCCAGATAGAGGGACCGGGTTATTTTAATCCTCTGACAGTTACAGATAGGAATCGTTCCGTGTTCCGTTAGAAAAAATCAGTATTATTTCTGATAACATCACTTATTATTTCAGTATTTTATAAATTAATGTATGCATAATTCCAATACTAGTATATAATTGAATTTCAAAAGAATTTCCATTTCTACGCAAGTGGAGACAATAGAAAAGATACGGGGCTTAGGAGTACTGATCAATAAAAAAAATTAATATACATTGTTGTACACGATAAATAATTTTTATTCTGTGATTTTGTAAACGTACATACGTTTGAAGTCTGTTTGATAAGACAATCACTGAAAAAAACGCATGGTGCAGAAATGGTATGATTATTATAATAACAGAGTTTAGAGAGTTATACAAAATTAGTAGCAATTATAACTAAATGTAAAAGTTCATCGATTATTCTAATTGTAAGAAAAAGTAATCCTCATCACTTAGTATTTGCTCGAAGGATTGAAGTGGACAAATATTCGTTTTTCGTCGAACCGTTATAATTGTTTGAACATCCGTTATCATGTTTAATCTTTGTACCTAGATCTTCTAAACTAGGCCATTACTAAGCTGCAAAAATCGTTCCTAACGATTATTGACTAGTTGTAATCGTTCCTGATTAGTATTACCTACTTGTGATAATCTTTAAGTATTACCAACTAGTTACGGCTTTCATAATCATCTAATATTTTTAAAATAATATCATTCGTCCGTTCAATTCCGTTTAATCGAAACCATTTTTAATCATTTAAATCATCGAACCATTCTCGGCAAGGAAAGACGACTGTTTATACAGAGGCAGCTGTCGTGTAATTGTCTTACAATTAGTAATCCAAAAGAAAGATACTCGACCCCACGTGGATTTGCGTGAAATGACGTCTCTTTCAGTATTTTCTCTTTGGAAGAAACGGGCGGTGAAGCGTAAATACATTGATATGTAAAAGACCCAATTACTGACACTTTAAGAAAGGACACTGATATTATTGTTACAATAGATACATATAGACACTAAAAGTACTTGGTATTAAAACAAAAGTATCGAGTAATTATGTATTTGAATTTGTTTGTATCGATTTATCTCTAGTTCAGAACGCTATGCAGGGCTCTCAGAAGGGGATACTTCTGTCCGCAGACGCCACGGAAATCGTCGGTTTCAAGACTCCATATCATGCCACCGCCGAGATGATAGGAGTTGATGTATTTCGCTTTCTCGCGGACCGACCTGAAAAATAAAGTACACAAAGAGATGAAACACCCTGTACTAGTGATGGGCGATACAGTATCGAGACTTTTCATTTCGAATATCAATACTTCGAATATTGATACTTTTTAATTCAAATATCTATACTTTGTATCGATATTTAATGTAACGATACTAAATATCGATACATTTCTGTACGCCACTCCTGTCTTCGCATTTTCTATTTCTACTGCATCAATAATCATTAAATAATGAACCACTTACTGGACATCGTCGTATCCGACCCATTGGTTACCTTGGTACATATAAGGTACAAGTTGCTGAGCATCCCTGCTAACAGTCCAGCCACCTTGGCGGAGTTTCTCGCAGATCTCGTTGTAACCGAGCATGCCAGCCTCCTTGGTGTACGGTCCAACGGCTCCAGGGCCACTGGCACGAGCGCCTATATTGCAGTTACCAGCGTTCGCCAGAGTGAAGGATCTTCCGTATGTAGGGATACCGAGTATCAGCTTGTTGGGTGACGCGCCTTGCGAGAGCCAGTGGCGGACAGCATCGTGCTGGAATGATCAAACAACCTGTCAACATCGGGACCAGTCGCCTTGTACCAGGGCCGGTCAATATCTTTAGAGGCCTTAAGTACTTAACAAAGTTTGGTGCCCCATCCAAATACTGTGGCTGTCAAAAGTTTCCGGCCAAACTGTGATTCCATCGTATCTTTGTCAGAACATTTGTCACGCCCGTATTTTTTGGCAAGAAAGATTAATTTTACGGAAGAAAATTCGTTTAAAAAAACACAGTTGACATTCATATGACCTCCACGTGTCCACATAGAAAAAAGTTACTCACATCAGAAAGTGTGCCAAACATTTATTAATATCGTCAATACTTTCGGAGATACTCTGGTGGGTCGATTTAAATAGGAAACCCTGTATATTTTTAAAAAGATATGTTGAAATTGGTCCACGATGAATATAGCAATTTCTATGGTGCCCCCTTCCCTTGATACCGTAAGTACTTATTTTGCTTAATGGTTAATCCAGCCCAGCCCTGTATGCTAAAATGATTTCAGGTGACCTCCGCCTACGTACAACATTGTTCCCGTCCGAAGAGTACAGAGGTGCATTCTGGCCAATGACGCTGTTCCAGGAGCCGTTCATATCATAGGTCATCAGATTGACGAAGTCGACCTGTTCCGCCACGTCTCTGATATTGTACGACTGTGAGGCGGACGATGCGACCGCTGCTACCGCCACACTGAGGATATAACCGCGTGGTCTGAAAGCACTTTTGAGTTCTTTGAGAAGATTCACGAAATTCTGCTTGTCGGATGGCACACCGCCCCGTTGGTTCGGGTACTCCCAGTCAACGTCCAAACCGTCGAAGTTGTATCTTCGGAGAAAATCGACGACATTCTGAACGAATCGAGCACGTGTTCCCGAATTACTGATGTAGAGCGGTGAACTTTCCGTAACCGTTTTTGCCACCGCCGTCCGGCAGATCCGCCCATGGATCATGTATCTTCAAACTGCCATCGGCGTTAATGCCGACGAACGCGTAGATCAAGTGGGTGCAGAGACGAGGATCGATGTCGGTCACGTCGATTGCGCCTAACCCTGGACGGTACACGGCCCAGCTACCGAAGTAACCGACGATTTTCTCTAGATAACGAAACCGTAATGTATTATGCAATTGTTATCTATATCCGTATAATTTTGACCAGTAGATATTGCGATTATTGCTCTGTTAAAAATTCGTCATGTGGCACTTCACCATTATCACGAACGATCTGATACGTACTTTTACCACTGCTGGCCATTGCCACGAAGACGGCTAAGAACACGACCGTGAATTTCTGGAAACAAATGATATAGTTTTTAAAAGTTTCTTAATACTTATATTTGATATATCGGTTGTTTTAAGAATAAGAAAATCAATATCTCCCCTACGGAAAGTTGACAATCGAAGTGTCGAAGGTTATTCAGATTAGGCATGAAAGAACGAGGGTCCATACATTTGACATCTAAAAGTACTGAATGTGCTTAACAGAAATTCAGTTTCGAAACTTGATTTTCCAAAGAGCTTTTTGAACTTTGGCAGCATATAATTTTACCTTGGTAAATTAACCTTAATGTCATCCGGGTTGTGTAACACTAAAATGATCCAGTTCGATTTTTTACAATGAAAAAGTAATGCGTTTACGCAATACAAATTAATAAGCCACAGTCGTGTTTTGCTTTTTCGATATTTTTTTTCGACTATTTGATAGTAACAAATGTGCCCGAAGAGGCGGAACAAGCCACAATTCCATGCGAATCGAAGGTCTATAGCGAAGATAGGCCAAATAAAACTTACATATATTCCGCGATATATACTGAACGATACCGATCTATACATATGTATAAATATGTATAGCACACGGTTGACTGGGGCGTAGCCAGGTTATCAGCCAGGTTGGGAGGCAAAGATATAACACATCGACTGTTACAGTGAAAAAGGCTGTACGTATCCAGACACACTTTATTTTGTTTTTGAAGTCATAAATCGTTGAAAATGTATGAATTTTGTTAATAGAGTCTATGGGTCGAGTTTTAAATTATACTGCAATATTAAATATTACGCAAAAATTTTATAACTTTGAAAATGGAGGGGGCGGGAAATACAATTTTTTTCTTGTAGAGTGGGACAAAGGCCACTTTTTTCCGTCAGGGAGGAACAAGCCCTCCCCCCCTGCCTACGCCCATGTAGGTACACAAGATTTTCAGACATGATCCCCTAAGAAACGAGCAAACTTTAGAAATCTAAAATAATATACCAGAATCTCTGTTAGTTTAAGACACGATGAGTGTTATTTTAGAACTTATCGTCGCAACATTTATTCCGCTTTTCGAACGAATTAAAAGTTGTATTTATGGTACACGTTACATACCTGTCAGAAAATTCGAAGTTCCAATTTATCCGTGGATTCGTAAACTCACCGTGGCAGTTCTGTAGACGAGTTCTTTTATACTAAATCCGCTGATTCAGCGCGAACCTGCTTGTCGAATACTGATAAAGACAGTGGATGATACAATTCCAAATATATCACTCGCGCCAATGACTGCAGATATAATAAAACAACGGATGCCATTGTTGTCGAGGGGTTATGCATCTATTCTTGGAGAAAGGGCGCCATCTCCTCTATCTTAACATAAAAGTATGAAACATTCGTACTGCAGCATACATATATGATACATATGGATGTATGTGATAGCACATACGTAAATCTCTTCCGTGGTGATTAGAGACCTAACTTCACTTTCGGGTCTTCAAGGAGGGTTGGGAAAATTTTATTTCGAACAACGAATAACAAATACATTCCCAGGTTTTATTTATGAATAACAAATAATGATTTTAATCGTCAAAAAATGATTCGTTCGTCACGAGTAAATCTGTAGCATCATTCGTTATTCCAAATAACTCCGCGATAAATAATGCCTAGTGCTAATCGACTTTGGATCCTTCGTTATCTCTACGCATCAGTCATCATTGGTTCACTCGCTAGACTGGAGCTGGTGCTACACCCTGCTGGTGGGGGGGAGGGGTCTAGGGGTGTGGCCGTAGCCCCGGGCCCCACGTTCCAGAGGGGCCCTGTTATGAACCTTCCATTTCATTATGATTAAATGTTATTTAAATTTATTTAATTTCAATTTTTTTAAATTTATGTACTTTACTGTGTTGTATTACAAAAAATCCACGTCCCCCCTCCCCTGAAATTTGATAGCCCTGGGCCAACAAAAATCTTAATCTTTACACTCTTCGTATTTCCCACGAAATATAAGTTCTCCCCAATAAGTAAAATCTCTCTCAAATCGATCGATGGTTTCGAGGTAACAAAAAAACAAGTCGAAGATCTTCGTATAAATATCTTTTATTGCAATGCTACTTTACTTAAAATATATAAAAAAATACATATATTCTATCTCAATTCACAAATCGGTAAAACAATCAGTCATTGTACATCAATTGTACAAAATTTAACAGCCCGGCACGTTTTGACGGTAGTTGCAAGTCTCGATCGTTGTGTCAAAGGCGGTTCCGGCCGGACAGCTGAACTTGCTGGCCTGGTATTGACCGTTCACATTACGGCAATAATAGAATGTACTGCAATCTTTGGGGTCGCGAACGTATCCTTCCTTGTTGCACACGGATCCAGATGGTGGTTGTGGCGGTGGTTGGGGAGCACTGGTGGGTGTAGGATTCGGGACAGGAGCAGGGGCTGGTGCTGCGCCACCGTTCAGAGCGCTGTTCAGAACGCTCAACAGAGGATACCTCTGTCCGCAGACACCACGGAAGTCATCGGTTTCGATGCTCCACAACATAGCACCGCCGAGATTAAGGGAGTTTATGTATTTCGCTTTCTCGCGGATCGACCTGAAAAATAATGTACACAAACAGATGAAACACCCTGTAGTAGTGATGGGCGGTACAGTAGCGGTATTTCAAAATATCGATGCTTTTCAATTCAAACATCGATATTTTGTCTCGATACTTGTCAATTCAAATATCGATATTTTTTTCGATATTTAATTTAACGATATATTCCAGTATAATTTAATTGCAAGTACCCATACCGATAATATAGTTTTTTATTCCCGATATACAAGTGCATCGATACTCTGGGTATCAATACCTATCGATAGTAAATATCGATACCGAATATTGATAAAATTCAAATGTATTATAGTATAGCATTCTCGATTTCTACCGCATCAATAATCATACAATAAAGGACCACTTACTGGACATCGTCGTATCCAACCCATTGGTTGCCTTGGACCATGTAAGGCACGAGTTGCTGACCATCCCTGTTAATAGTCCAGCCACCTTGGCGGAGTTTCTCACAGATCTCGTTGTAACCGAGCATGCCAGCCTCTCTGGTGTACGGTCCAACGGTTCCAGGACCAACGGCAGGAGCGCCTATACCGTTGTTACCAGCGTTAGCCAGAGTGAATGATCTACCGTACGAAGGGATACCGAGTATCAGCTTGTTGGGTGACGCGCCTTGCGAGAGCCAGTAGCGGACAGCAGCGTTCTGGAATAATCAACAACCATTGAACATCGGGACCAGTCGACCTGTACCAGGGCCGAGTTAAAACCTTCAGAGGCCGTAAGTAATTAACAATCTTTTATGCCCCGATCCACATATAATGGCTGTCGAAAGTTTCCGGCCAAACTATAAATCTATACATTTATCAGGTCCGTAATTTTTTGCAAGAAAGATTATTTTTAAGCAAGAAAATTGTTAAAATCATCAAATCTGAAGAAGCAATGTATCCTCAATACATGAGTATTTCAACAATATATTCGCATTACTATTTAAAACGACCCACACGAATATCTCCGTAACTGTTGACGACATTAAAATATGTTTCAGACGAAAGTTCAAGACGAAGATCAACTTTGTTTCCTTAAATGGAATCGTATATTTTTTAGTGCACTAATTCGCCATAAGTGACTTAGTGCTTATATATTAGTGCATTAAAAAATATACGCTTTCATTTAAAAGTCGACCTTCATGTGACCTCCACGTGTCCACATAGAGAAAAGTTACTCAAGTCAGAAAGTTATTTTGCTTAATGGTTAATTCTGCCCTGCCCTGTACGCTAAAATGATTTCAGGTGATTCCCGCCTACGTACAACATTGTTCGGATCATTGGAGTACAGAGGTGCGTTCTCGCCGGTGAAGCTGTTCCAGGAGCCGTTCATATCGTAGGCCATCAGATTAACGAAGTCGACCTGTTCCGCCACATCTCTGATGTTGTACGATTGCGAGGCGGATGATGCGACCGCGGCTACCGCCACACTGAGGATATAACCGTGTGGGCTGAAAGCACTTTTCAGTTCTCTGAGAAGATTCACGAAGTTCTGCTTGTCGGATGGCTGACCACCCCGCTGGTTCGGGTACTCCCAGTCAACGTCGAAACCGTCGAAGTTGTATTTTCGTAGAAAGTCGACCACATTCTGAACGAATCGAGCACGTGTTCCGGGATTGCTGACCACCTGGGAGAACTTGTTGGATCCCTCGTTCCAGCCACCGACCGCGATCATCGCTTTGGTGCCAGGACTTCGGTTCCGTAGAGCGGTGAACTTTCCGTAACCGTTTTTGCCACCGCCGTCCGGCAGATCCGCCCATGGATCATTTATCTTCACGCTGCCGTCGGTGTTGATGCCGACGAACGTGTAGATCAAGTGGGTGCAGAGACGAGGATCGATGTCGTTCACGTCGATCGCGCCTAACCCTGGACGATACACGGCCCAGCTACCGAAGTAGCAGACGATTTTCTCTAGATAACGAAACCGTATTGTATTATACAATTGATATTTATATCCGTATAATCCTAACCAGTAGATATTGCGATTATTGCTCTGTTAAAAATTCGTCATGTGGCTCACGACCACTATTACGAACGATCTGATACGTACTTTGACCTTGCGCACCGGTGGCGGCCATTGCCACGAAGACGGCTAAGAACACGGCCTTGAACATCTGGAAACAAATGATTTTGTCTTCTAAATCTTTTTAATACTTATACGATCGAAGTGTCAAAAGTTATTCAGATCAGACATGAAAGAACGAGGGTTGTTATATTCGACGTCTAAAAGTAGTGATTGCGCTTAACAGAAATTCTGTTTCAAATCTTGAATTTTCCAAAGCGTTTTTTGGAGAATATAATTTTACCTTGCTAAATTGACCTCGATGTCCTCCGGGTGGTATAACACTAAAACGATCCAGTTTGATCGATCGTATTTATATTCATCCGAAAATCTGCCATTTATTCAAAATTAATGGATCTTATCGCACATCCCCGTGCTAATAAAAATAGGACTTTATCAGCGATACAATCTAAACGCACACATGTTCTGCATCGTACTTTCTATAGAAACGTCGTGAATTATTTAACATAATTAATCCAATATAACTGAAATTAATCCACCTGGTAAGTTCTGAATCTAGTCCCCTCCTCGACGAAAGCATTAGCTACTATATAATTTAGGATCAGATTAGATTACTCATTTTTGGAACCGATCAAGTAAGATATTACGTCAAACCTTCACAATGAAAAAGTAATATTCCGTTTACGCAACGGAAATTAACCAGCAACAGCCGTGTTTGCATTTTCGATACTTTTTTTCGGTTGTTTGATTGTCACAGGTGTACTCGAAGAGGCGGAACAAGCCACGATTCCCCGCGAATCGAAGGTCTATAGCGAAGCTAGGCCAAATAAAATTTACATATATTCCGCTATAGATAATCAACGATCTTGCTCTACATGTAGCACAAAGCTGATTGTTGGGTACGTGTTTGTGTGTTACGTCGTAAGTACACAAGATTTCCAGACATGATCCCCTAATAAGAAACGCGCAAACTTTGGAAATCTAAAATAATATAACAGAATTTCTGTTAGTGTAAGACACGATGAGTGTTATTTTAAAACTTACCGTTGTAACATTTATTCCGCTTTTCGAAAAAACTAAAAAGTTGTATTTATGGTACACGTTACATACCTGTCAGAAAATTCGAAGTTCCACTTCATCCGCGTATCCGTGAACTTACTAAGGCAGAATTCTGCTTGACGAGTTCTTTTCTACTAAATCCACTGATTCATCGCGAACCTGTTTATCGGATACAGATAATGACAATAAATGATACACTTCCAAGTACATCAGTGACACTGAAGAATGGTATTTTTATGTTGCAAGAGACATCGTTGAATGTACCCTGATAACCAGTTGAGTACATGTTTCGAGCATACTGCCAGCAAATGACAAAAGTTGTCTAAAAAACCATAGCCATCTGTCTCTGCATTTGGCTTGCGTTTTACAGGCAACGCTAGCTGACAAAATGGTAAAGCAAATATTGCAGAAAGTCTTGCAACATGACCTGTATCAAACTAAGGGCAACACCGGAACAGAGTCTGCAAGTCAATTTGCTGCCAACTTGCTGCCAATTATGGATGCGGTGTAAGTGAAAAAACCAAAAAAATTGAAGTCTTTTATTTTATGTTACATTAATTTATATTTCAATATTATAAAAAAATTTTCGAAACGAGAAGTACATGACTTACACCGCTTTCATAATAATCAGCACATATGATACCAATAATTGAATGCATGTATATGTATAAATCAATAAATATATAGGATGTATTTGTAAATACAGTTTTATTCATACAATTTTTACATAGTTTTCTAATTATATTTTTAACAAAATTTACTGTATAATATAACAATAAGTAAAAATGAAGAGTTCATGGCGAAGAACAGAATAAAACTGACTTCAGATGTGGCTGCAGTAATTAATGTATAGAAATTTTACGGACGTCGGTATTTTTTCATTGCATTATTCCTTTTCAAGTTGTCCCTTCGTACGAACCTCCAATATTGTTTTGTATCTGGATCCAACTCTGATAACTGTAGTGGTTCAGTTCTAATCTCCCATATCCAGTCAGGGTACTCATTATCCGGCTTCAGTTTTATATCTTCTCCTTCAGTATAAATGTTTGATCCACACACATAATTTAGTAATTTATTAACATCTTTTTCAACAGGAATTTTTACCTTTTCAATCTTGATCTGTTTAGATTTGGCAGCCTTTTTAGAAGGCAGTACTACAGTTCAACAAAAAAGGTTCTGTATTAAAGTCCTTTTTGAAAAAATATAATAATGTACAATACTTTTTGTTTTACCTTTAACTTAATACAATCATTTACGGAAAAAAATAAAGAATTAGACACTGAACAAATTGAAACAAAACTATTCATTTACACGTTGGAAATAATGAAGACATGTATTGAGAATAATATAACCTCTACTTTTATAAGATGAACCTTGTTATTCTATAATAACTAAATGGTGTAAACAAAATATTTTTACCTGCATAGTTTTTTACTTGTATTGCATATTGTACAGGAATAATAAAAGTTTCCTTAAACTGAAATAACCGTAAAGCAGAAAGAAAGGACATAGTCTTCAATTGTCCTTAGCAGACAGGTTCATGTGTTGATGAATACAAAAACCAATGTATCCTTACATAGAGCGTAGATATGTATATTATTTTTATTGGGTATTAGATGTATAATCTTACAACAAAATAATAGTAGTTTTGACACATATTTTGTTTACATATTATAAGAATCAGTCGTTATAAATTATATTTAGAACTTATTCCGTAAAATTATGGTTATAATGAGGCAGCGGTAGATTCAAACGTTGACAACAGCATAGAGCCATATGCGCAATGACAAACAATAAAGTTCATCCTGCATTAGCCTTTATTTAATCACGATTTAACCAAAAATTTAACGTCCATTATGTATCAATATCTTTTAAATGATTGAGATTAGACTCTTAAATTTGTGGCATAATATATTAATTATATTTGTATGTTTCGGTTATGTAATGCCAATAAGCAACGATAGAGCTACACGGGTAGGTTCAATTTTTCTATAGATTATAGATAATCGCACCTAGTATTTATTATATGAAATACACTGTCTTCATATTATTCTTACTTTCTATATAATAAGTAATAACGTAAATAATGTCAATAGATAAAAACATTAAACTTTGACATAAGAGGCATAAAAGGAAAGTCTACAGAGACTAAGGCAAATGTTCAGCAAAATACTCAATTCCTGACCATTGCACCTGCCTTACCAATTTTACCTGGAGCACCTATACCACCAAAATTATCCAAACGCTGTTATAACTCATTTAGGTACAAATAAAATATGCAAATATATGCATATGTAATAATTAAATGACACAATTCTTTTAAAATTTTATATATAGTCCAGGAGATTCTGCATTTAACACAGACAATGCCAAAGTTGAGAGTTCTAATGCAGTTACACTGCAATGGACAAGCGAAGGGAAGACTATGGTTGCAACAAGAACAGTTACAGAAAAAGAAAAAAGTCCTGACAGGATATGTCTTGATAGAAGAGGTCTCACTACATTCCCAAATATAGTTGGAGAACCACGTTTGCGTCTATTATCTCTCCAACATAATCTTCTCACAAAGATAGAGAACTGCAATTTCTCTCAATTAACAAAATTAGTATTTCTTGATTTATATGATAATCAGATTGAGAAAATTTGTAATTTCGAAGTGTTAGAAAATCTGAGAGTGTTATTAATTGGGAAGAATAGAATAAGAAGGGTTGAAGGTCTAAAGCAGCTTTCTAAATTAGAAGTTTTAGACCTTCATGGAAATCAAATTCTACAAGTATCAGACTTAGAAACTTTGGCATCTCTGAAAGTACTTAATTTAGCTGGAAATAATATTAAAGCAATAGGCTACCATGATTTTCAAGGTTTAGCATCACTTAAGGAGTTAAATCTCAGACGTAATAAAATCAAGAAATTATTAGGCTTTGGTGAAACACCACAATTACAAAAATTATATTTAAGTAATAATGACATTCAAAAGTAAGTATTCAGTAACCTTTTCTTGCTGACATGAAATACAAAAGTACGAATTATATACTACTTTTCTATTCTATTCCATTTTAGAATTGAAGATTTAGGAAGTTTAGCAAAAGCATTGCAACTTAGGGAAGTGACAATTGATGGAAATCCTGTAACTCTGAATGGAGATTATGTGTCATTTCTTGTGTCATATTTACCAAATTTACAATTTTTATCTACCATGCCAGTCACTGAACAAATTCGAAGATCTGCTATGGCTTGGAAGACAACTAAGGAACAAAGTAATTCAACTTTCTTAAGCCTTAGTGCACAAGTTTGTATGAATGTTCGAAGAGAAGAAGTTATATCAAATGCTAAAATAAATTGGGAACTTCTTAGATGTCATTCTAAGTCCTCTGCAGATAACAATGGAAACAATATTCGAAACAATAATATTGGTTTGATGCAAGTTCAAAAGTCAAATAAATTTAATACATTAAAGCCTAAGAGTTTAGAAAAAGTAAAGTCAAAGGGTTTTGGAAGTTTGACTTCAATAAATGAAAACATAGAAGCAACAAAGATAAACATTAAGAAACGGAGTAATTCTACTGATAATTTATTTAGATTAAAAGACACAACTAAAACATATCCTTTAGAGTTCAAACTCCCCCCTATTTTGGGCTCTATTGTAGATAATCTAATTAATAATAAATTTGACGAAAAAGCAGGTAGGGGTAATAAGAGCTCAACAAAAGCAAAGATTAGTAGTGATGCTGACAGTGAGTCAAACAGTGACTCAGAAAGTTCAGAGAGTCATGAGAACCTAAAGAGTTGTTTGAAATCTCATCTTATTAACAATTATATGTCTCCTCGTGATGCTAATAAATTTGATAAGAAAATATTTAGTTCTATAAATGTTTCTTCTATTTCGACTGCCATTCATGAAGAAAAAGGAAATAAAAATTATACAATTTTGGAATCTACTGAAATATTAAATGGTGATGAGAATTTGGAAAAAGTATCTCAAAATGTGAAACTTCATGATCAGCATGGCACAAGCGATTGCCAATCGAAATCAAGCGTTGGTTCCTCTGGCTATTTCTCATTAAGTTCGAAAACTAATAGCGTGGACAGCTGTAAGTCTGTACTCAGTGATTCCAGCATATCGTCTGCTACTAAGAATGTATTATTAAAATGTAAGAATTCAGAAAAAGATAAAAATAGAATAAAGAGTGCTCAGGTAAAGAAAATAGTAAGTTACAAAAGTAATAGAGCTGCAACTGCTAGAGCTAAATATAGAGCTTCAACACCACCAAGTCCACCTCCGATGCAAAACCTACCAAAGGAGAGAGAACAAGGTATACATTGACAACACATTAGCAGTAGTAATTCCATTAACATATACTATCAATTGTTCACAGGAGGAGATTATTTAATAGAAATAGTTGGTCGTTGTTTGAATGTTTATGGCCAAGGTGCATTACGTTTTATTGATAAACCATGGGACTGTTCGAAGGCTCAAGATGTTAATGTCGTTAAGTTTAATTATGTACAGTTCAATGATGTGGCCAAAGTTTTGTGTAAAGTAAAAAATAGATTTCCAAACATAGAACACTTTACGTTTAAAGAAACTAACATTAGTTATCTTGGACAACTCAATGCTTTAGCTGAAGTACAGGGATTAACCAGCATTCAGATAGAAATCGGGAATCCGATTATATCGAAGGATTGGAAAGTGTATGCTATATTTCGTTTAGCTCATTGGGGACTGAAAATCATCAATGGGAAGGAAGTAAACAATTTTTTACTTTATAAGAAGTGAAATAAAGAACTACCATTACTGGAAAGTGTTCACTAATTTAATTAAATGTTACCCTTAGATCACAAACGAAGAAATTGAAATGGCAAATAAAGAGTATGCTGGTCTTGTTGACATTGTGATGTGTTCACTGCCAGAATCATTGTTACAGCCTCTATTACAAAGACTCCACTTAGAGAAAGTGCAAAGACAAAATGGAGAACAAATTACTGCCAAACAATTTTTACTGAACAGTGATCCAGCCCTCAGAAGTGTTGTCGCGAAGGAGGCGTTGCAATGGAGGAAAGGATGCATAACACAGGCGAGGGAACAAAAATACAATTTTCTGTATTACGGTAATAGCAGACTCGTCTTTTTCTCACAGAATTCTGTGTTTTAATTATAGGAGGATCTTATCTGGAGACATAGAGGAAAAGTGCATGTGTTAGGCCTGATCAATCTCACTATAGACGCAGTACAAAAGTTGCAATTACTTGAAAATAAATGGCCCCGTATTTTGTGCGAAATAATTCACACTACTTTATCGGATTTTTCTGAAATGGACACGTACATGAAACGCTGTAGCGAGACACTTAAAAATGACAAATGAGGCCTCTTTACAGTTTATTTTATTAGTTAACATTAATTAATATAGTACGAGGTCATACAAATTTAAAACATACGTTCCTTATGTATGTGTTCACGTTTATTTAGTTCATTTGTTACACAGACTATAGGATATTATATGTAAACTGTATATTTGTTACTTAAATATTTATAACACGTTTAAAGTGTTCACAACGACAAAGCGTAATGCTTCAGTTTTTATACAACTATATTCTCGATTATGCAATAGATCAGTTTATCACGATGTTAATGTACAATAATGCATTCGAAATATACGTAATCACATTAATGACTCTCTAATTTACATGTGACGTGGAATTGTATAAGAACGCTGGATACTCTAAAAAAATCTTAAAAAAATTAATTATATTTTTGTTTATTCCACAAGTTAATAAGTTTAAATAAATCGTAAAGGTGAGTATTATTTACAATATCGAAATGTATTCTCCAGCTATAGATTAATAATCAGTCGTTCCATATCACTTTGTTCCGATGATAGATTCCACGCTGAACGAAATGGTCGATTTCTTCTCCAAACAAGATCCACTGGTGGCCGTCGAAATGTTGCCGAGGTCCGTCACGGCGGACGTGAAGTTATTAAAATTCTTCTTCATCTTCCGTGGTTCTGGAACATTTTCGAACCACGGAATCCCGGAATATGTAGCCGGAAATGACTGCAGTTTCTTGCAATTTTCGGCCTCGTGCTGGTCATGAGATAAGCCATTCAATAAAGGAGCGTCTGCGGTAACTGAAATTAAGAAATACTCACAATTCATAAAAATATAATATCATACAGGGTGAAACAAAAAAAGCCCAGAAGTTATGAACCCCTTTTTGTTTCACTCTGTATACATTTATGTAGTTTATATTCTTAAATGTTTTAGCAAATCTAATACAGATACATAAATAACATGAAAATGATTGAGATTCTTTTTTTGTTAGAGTATTAAATATAATCTTCTGCTGTAGTTAAGCAAAAAGTTTATGAACTCTAATGCCAGGTATTATTTTTGTGCAATTTTCTGTGAACTTATAGAAAAGAGCGTTTCGTATATCTATATTTTTCACCCTTTACTAAATTACAGAATTTGGTGCAAAGGAGATAATTAGAAACCGACAAGAGTGAATCACCGTTATTTTTACCTTGATGTAAATTTAGAGTGATATAACAATATTTCAATTAACAATCTTGTTTAATTTGCACTGCTATCTTTTGCAAATATGTATTTACTATTCATTATTTAAACAAATACTAACACGCTGTAGGTAAGCCATGGATCGTCTTCAACCCATAAAATCCCTGCGTCACGCTGATGCTGGTCTGCGTGAAGTGCAACTGATGACGCTGAAAGTTCTTCGTTCGTCGGCAAACAGGGCTCTGATCAGCTTTCAATAAATACGGTGACGCGGAACCGTCTACGGGCGTATGGCAAACCGTCGCTGGATTATTACCAAAGTAATTCCCTTGCGCCTGTTGCTGTCTTCTGAGAGCGACCTGCGCTGCCATCACCCGTTGCCTTTCCACCACGAGCAAACAACAAGGACAACGGCAGTCCTTCCACGCGCAGGACCTCTTGTGGCCCTTCAGACCGGAAATAACACCGTGGTTCCGGCATCTCGCACACTTTGGACTCCTCAAACGTTGCTCCACACTGGTGTTCACTTGACCGGAACTACCACTTTCTGTCTTCATCTCGGAGTCTTTTGAAGTCTCCAAACAGCGCTGTTCTTTAAGATCTTAAATTGTCAATCGGATACAAATGTTCGAAATAATATTACTCCAGTGTCCGTTGTTAATTACTCGACTCGGTTTAGTTACTAACGATTCCAGTTAGCCGGAAAAGCGTAATGTAAAATATCGCGCCGTAGCGTTCCATCCTTTTACACAGTGTCACCCCACGGAATCGCAAAATTTGTAAAATTTCAGAACACAGAACAGCAAACAAAAGCAGCGTGTGGAATGTTAAATAGTGGTAATTACGTATACAGCGAGTAGTATTTCACACCCTTCGAAATCGCTCTTTAACCTCCTGCACTCTGCTCGACGAACCGGTCACTGTTCACCGTTGAATGAGTTATATACTTAGATGAATGTTTTTGCTGCAACGAAGGAGGTGTCTCCTCATCTCCTCCTACCGATTCGAAATGTATTTTTAGAGAAGAAACACGCAAGGGATTGGCTCCGAACGCGTCGAGACGCCGCCACCCTCGTGGACCAGGAGCCAATCGAGGGCAACCGGTGGCTTCTTGGTGTTCCTGTTACCGTCATGTTGTATCACCCTCGAGAGAACGGCAGAGATCTTCGTTAACCGAGCGATTTCTTTGATTACCGACCCCCCGTGACAGAATCGTATCGATCATCCGGAGGCGGTTCCGACATGTGTACAGCGCACAGAGAGTCGTCTTACGCGAAAGCGCGAGATTCATCGAGCTCGATCCCTCGCAAGGAAGCAAAGTGCTTTGCTGGTACCAGTAAAAAGATCGCGCATGATTTACCAATCTGTTATCTAAATCAGTCTTGTAAATTCTGAGTAGTTTTAGACTTGTTGTGTGTTTTGATTAGCCGTGCACTCCGAAAAAGATGCATTGTTCTGACACTTAGCACGAGAACTACCAAACCCGTCAAAATGACGGATTGTAGATTTCTTATTTTACGATTGCTGAATTTAAAATATTTCCTTTGGTGCAATTTATGTTGGCTTTTAATTTGCAATACATTTTACGTTACACTATATTATACTAAATTGTACTCAATGTTACTATATTGTACAATGTAATTTAATATTTATTTGATGTTGGTAGTTCTAGTGTTAAAGTGTGTCTTAAAGAATTATCATTGGTTTTCGAATTCCAAGCTCTATCACTGTGCTAAACATCATGAAAAAGTCAGCGTTGCATTTGGAAAACTCTCCTTGTCAGTGCCGAGGCGCCTTCGAACACTTGTCGAGGATTTACTGTACATCGTTATAGTCATTGGAATGTTTCCCATGTTATGATAAATTACACTTTCCACGCTGACACTACCCTTGAAACATTTTAAAGAACGATGTCCGCGGAGGAGAGACAATGTAATTATCTCCACGGCGTAGATCCCCTTCGACGTTTCCGTGAAAGAGTAACATAAACCGGACGCTCTTCGAAGTATATAGATTTTCAGGCAAAACAAGGGTAGAACATAACGCGGCCGCGGCACTTAAGAGAGACAGAGGCCGGCCTCCTCCGAAAGAACGCTCATACGTTAAGAAAACATACTCGAAACTAATATTAACTGTGCGTTGGCAACATCCGAGAGGATCGTATTAACGAGCTCTTAGAGCAAGATCACAGAAAGAATGCCATGTGGCCGCAGCTGGCGGTGTGTACCGTTGTTAGTCCAACGAGAACTCACGTCTTCTATTTTTGCGGTACCCGATAGAACGGAAAGGGTGTTAGAGATTGCACTGTACACCGACACTCGGATGATATATCATGTCTTTCGGTTCTGCAAATTCGGACAACGATCCGAACCTCGAATCCCCTTTAGATCTTGGACGTTGTTGATATTCCACGTATCGGATGCACCAATAAGTATATCCATTACCCCCTTGAATAAGATAAGCGAAATATGTTTTTATTTTTCTTAGGTAAAATTGACAGAAGATGTCGAACAATAACAAATATTGGTACAGTTACAGATCTTTAATTTTCTGGGATATGGATACCATCACGGTCCCACTTCCTAATCACTTAATAGTACCTAACTATCGCAGTTTTTTTAACATATAACTAGAAAAATTAATTAAATCCAAAAGAATTGGTGTTATTCGAATAAATCTATATTTTATCTTTCATTTAGTATTAACAAAAGTGCGAAAATAATAAATTGTAATATAACTTTTAGAGTAAGCAGCGCAAATGGAGCACTCTGAGCTATCGAATTTTACATATAAATTTTGACATAGTTAATAATTATTCAGTAATTTTTCTGGAAAATAATCTTTATTATAACAGACTTATTATATAGTATCTATACACTAAACTGACGAGGAATTTGGTTCGCATCAGGAACTGTGTCCGTGACGGTACTAAAAAAAGGAAAGGAAAAACATAGAGTCCATTTCGAAGATTATCGAAACATTTATATTTCACAAGTTTACCATGTTTTAGAAGTTGTTTCGTTACAAAAAGAAACAGTTTGTTTCGAGTCTGTATCCAAAAGTAGAATCGATCAGATTCAGTTACGGCCAGCTTCATCGATTATATTTTTAACACTCCCGTATTTGATGTACGAGACAATCATTAATCGTCCACAAATGAATTTCTGTTCTTTTAAAAGGGACGACACCGACTAGCAGACGATTTTTTTCTTCTTTTCACCCTGGCAGACGACGAAGGGAAGAATGATCAGGGAAGTTTAAATTTACATTCGGCTGGTAGGCACGCGTGAAACGTACCGAGGAATTCGCTCTAATGAGCGTGGAACGAGGGGGTGTCATTCCGTGTGCTCCCGTCCCTTTTTCTCATCGACGCGGTAGAGAGACAGCTTCGTCCGAGAGGGTGTTGTCAGTACGGCAAATATGTTGACAGGTCATTCAACATCTTTCCGCCGTTTGGCAGCGGCGGATCTGCTGAGGATGCGTGACCAGTGGGAGGGCGAGATGTTGCACCTCGGAAGAATATCCGTGGCTAAAATTGGCCCCTCTGTTGGGCATTTCCTGCAAAAATGACTCTAGCATTATTCACCCTGTATCAGCGTACAAGGGTCTTTCACGACCCCAGCAGATACTAGATTTTTTTAAAACAATTCTATATATAAGAGTACTTTACCCTATTTTCAAAATTCTACTTTCATAGCCCTAAACTATTGCCAATAAATGATTTCTTGACGAAATCTGTATTCGTGTCTATGCAATGTCAAACGTTTGACTCGCTTTGCTAATTTTCATCGATTATCCATGAAATTGATTAACGTCATTTATAGTCACTTAATTTTGTTCCTTTAATTTTTTTTTTTTCGATATCGCGAATGTACCGTAATTGTTGCAAAAGCTTTTCAACGATACATCGAGCTCGATGGTTTTTAATAGACGGTCCGATCTATAAATGAACGTTTATTAACAAGCAGTGAGGCAATTTCAGGGTGGAAGAGACTGAGTAACAGAAGTAGGCGGCGTAACACCCGGCGGTGGCGGCGAACGGACAGCTCTGACATTTGCAAATCGTCGCACTTTGCATTTGTTCCGCGACCAGAAAAAAGCTGTTCGCGTCCACCGGAGCCGTGGTCACGCGAAAATTAATTAAAAGTCCGTCTTCCGACAGTTTCACGGTGGAAATCTGTCGCCGTTCAAATACCCACAGCGGCTGCGTGACCTCAACCGGCTTCATTCAAATGCGAGCCGGCAAAGAGATTCGGAGCGTGGCCTTCGAAGTTGCAAACATGTTATATAATACGAGATTGAAACGATAAATCATACGGGCCCGAAGCATCACGACCAACGACTACGTTACATCGAAACTAACCCCTTGCACCACCCCTGAGAAATTTCAGAGAATTATCTTGACGAGTTGTGTCAAAGCGACATGCAAACCCGACCGTTCGCTATAAGAAAACGTTAGAAGTATTCATCGTTTACGGTTACTTCGTTCGTTTGAGGTATAAATTCAACAATATTTAAAATAATATTTTATAGATTGGAATATTATACTGTAGGGTGGATGCTCTAGTTAATAAACATTATATATAAGAACGAGTAAGGTAAATTATTAAAATAAGCAAATGATTAAATATTGATTTTTTCAATTCCTTGTTTCAGATTCCAAAAGTTTTCGCACCACTGGTTAAAAATTCATTTATTGGTGAAATTTGTATTTTTTCTTTTTAATTTAATTAATCACACAGTTTCGTATTCTTTATTCGTTATATTAACATTTGTGTGTTTTCATTGCAGCTATAAGGCTGGTGAACAACCAGTAACCGAATGCACTGCGATGCCCCACTGTACGAACAATTTTGCATGGTACTTGGGCAAGTTCATCGCGGGCTTCACAGGGATGCTCTTCGTCTACGCGGTTTTCTTTAAAGAGAAGTGAGTCACCTCCAATCTCAATTTATAACAAAACACGTGGAACAATAATATAAAGATTGTTCCGTGTATTACAGAGAGTACAGTTGCCTGTGCAAAGCAAGAATGAGAGACTTCATTCGTTACAGAGGAGAAAAGTGAGTCACGTTGGTCATACGTGCGAGATTTCTTAAAGGATCTGTTCTCGATTGCTTTTCTTCTTTCCTTTTTTTTAAACCCATTAACAGTCGTTTATTTGTTTACTACAATAAAACTAAGCTACATCTATCCGTGATAAAAAATCTGAAAAAAAAGAACATGTTTTGCACATATCCTTTTAATAATTACGTCGTGTATGATAAGTGTCCGAGGCTCACTCGGGATAAACTGTTAATGGGTTAATTAAAAACCACACGTTCATCGTTTCGATTTAAATTGAATACGTTACTACGAAATCCTGAAGAGTATCACGCGTCGTATGACCAGCAATGTAATTGCGCATGGCGTAATCAAAAAAGTTCTAATACTTAGTACTAATTCCTGCACCTTAGACGAGCAGGCAGATGCGAATGCGCGGCAGGGTGAGTAAAAAGTCACATTTTCTTCGCAGTTTCATATGTGTAAACTAAATCTCGAATTTTATGATTTTTCC